AAGAGCGGCCACTTCACGTCTCATCCCAATCTCACCCCTGGGTTAACCCCACCCCTGAAGCAGCCATTCAGCTGTGGCCACGGGCACAGCATCCCTGGGGGAATGAGGTCCCTCACAGGGATGAGGAAGAACATCCCACCCATCCCTTCTGAGCGACCCACGGTGCCCAAGGAGCAGCTCGGGACCCCCGTGCCATCCTCACCCCATCCCTTCCCTGCAGCCGTGCCGCTCCCCGACCCAGGCTCCGCTCCTTGGCTGGATGCTGGGATGAAAATAAAGTGCAAATATTGTTGTTGGCAGAGATTATCCGCTCCCCCGCTGTGATTTAGGCATCTTTAAACTTCATGTTTTATTAATCCTCGCTGTACGATTAACGGCACTGAAATGTGATGTCTGCAAACAAAGGCACGAGCTACGGTGTTATCTCTATGAGATGCCAGGGCTTGGGCACTTGATTGTAAATATGCATGTTAATTAATTATATAGTGGAACCAGACGAAAGATGGAGCTGAAGTCACCTGCGCTGAGTGGGGACAAGGTGCTCATGGCCTTTGCCTCCTGCCCCGGGCAGCCCACCCCTGCCCAGACCCCATGGCATGAGGGAAAACTTGCTGTTTTCTGCCAGGTCTCCTGGCAGAGCCTCCTGTCCTCAAAAAACTGTCCTTCCCAGGTGCATCTCCTTCCAGGGTGTTGGCTGCAAAAGGGGACCTGCTTGGTGGCCTCAACAGCCACCGCCTGGGCAGGGAAGAGGGGATGGATGGAGCAGGGGGTGACAAACCTTGAAGCAGCTCTTTGGGGCTGAGCCGTGACACTGGGGTGACACCCAGGAGCCTGGATCCCCACGGTGGGACAGGATCCCACTCTCCAGTGCCACCCAGCACCTTAGGACCCGATGGTCCTTCAGAGTGAGCAGCAGCTGCCTCGTTAAGCGAAGGGCAGGGAAATAACAACTCCATCAGCCCCCTCCATGTGCTGGGCTGAGCCTGGATGGACCTTCCTGCACCTGGAGACATCTCACAAGCAAAATGCAAATAAATTATTCTCCTTCCAGCCGCTGGAGGACAGTGAAGCACAAAGCAGCAGCTGATGCCATCAGCACCCGCTCTAGAAACAAGGGATGGGGTGACCCAGGGACCTACTGATCCCACCCAGGTTTAGGAGATCCTGAGACCCTGCACTGCACAGGGGCAGGGAGCTGGTGAAGAAACAGCCTGAAAAGGGCAGGGAAATAACAACTCCATCAGCCCCCTCCATGTGCTGGGCTGAGCCTGGATGGACCTTCCTGCACCTGGAGACATCTCACAAGCAAAATGCAAATAAATTATTCTCCTTCCAGCCGCTGGAGGACAGTGAAGCACAAAGCAGCAGCTGATGCCATCAGCACCCGCTCTAGAAACAAGGGATGGGGTGACCCAGGGACCTACTGATCCCACCCAGGTTTAGGAGATCCTGAGACCCTGCACTGCACAGGGGCAGGGAGCTGGTGAAGAAACAGCCTGAAATTATTCAGTTGTGACAGCAACTCCTACACGCCTATAACAAAACAGCAGGATATCCCACACCACACTGCACAGACCATGTTACAGCTCTGGAATAAGACTATTACTTGTTTTCATGGTTTTATTGTCACTCACCTCTAATTTTCCTGGGGCCTTAGTCTGGAATCAGCCCATCACCTGCAAACCTCCTCTGCTATTTGGAAAAAGTTTAAAATGTTGAGTTAATCCTGGTGGCAGAGAATTCTGGAGGAATCCCGGAAAAGCAGCCAGGAAGCAAAGAAAAAAGCACCTCAGTGAAATCCCAAGACAGCTGGTAATACCGGGAAACCCCTGCCTACTGTAAAGGATCTACAGCCCAAGGGCTCAGGAAAACGTTGGAGAAGGAGAGGGATGTTTTGTTGCTTTATGGGGTGCTGCTGAGCCAGGGAAGAGCTCATGGGGAGTCAAGGAAATTCACAACTAAGAGATGCTGCACCATCAAAACCAGAGCACCAAGCCCTGGAGTAAATTCCCCCACGGGGGGGACAACATAACCCCATGGTGCTCAGAGCATCCACAGGGGCATGTGGTGGGAACAGGAGGGATGAGGCTGGGATGGGAGCACCATGACTTACCTGGACCTGCACCCACCCTGGTGGGAACCACAGCTCACCCTGGGACCACTCCACAGAAATCCCTGTTTCCTGAGCTCTAAAGGTCCACAGTGAGTGAGTGGGAAGGGATGAGGATGACTCAACTACTGTTCCTCTGTCCCTGCACAAGCAGTCCCTAGGTGTGGGGAGGTGGGCTGAGCACAGGACAGAGCTGAGCCCCGCAACACTCCTCACCAGGGGGTGTTGTGGATGGGTCAGAGAGGGGCTGGGGGGAATTAACAGAGGGAAAATAATCACACATTAATGGATAGCACCATCACCCCATGGCTCGGGAGGTACCTGAGGGCAGCAGGCAGGGAGAGCCGCCCCAGGAAGGAGCTGGTGTTTGGGCTGGTTGTCCTCACCTCCAGCACAGGGTGTAGAAGAGCTCCCATAGCATCTCGCACCCCCCAGGGCAGGTCCACAGCCTCTGGCTGTTCCCAAACCCTGCTCTGGGCAGAGCACAAACACCGATGGCTCCAGGCTCAGGTCAAGAAGGACTTGCCAAAGTCCATATTTGAGTTGCAAAGGGAAAGCTCCCCCCTTGCCCTCAGCCATTTCCATCTCAGCACGGCTTGTACGCTGCAGAACACCCTCAACACACCCCCAGCACCCCCGGGGTGCCCGACTTCAGCCACAGATTTTATTGTTGAGTAACGAGCTCACCACACCAGCAAGCCAGGACAGGGGTCAATGGTACATGAATACATATCTGTAGTAGTTACACAGACCGAGATTTGTACAGCTTTTGTACAGAGGAAGAAATAAAATGAATCAAATAACAAAATAGACATTAGCAGTCAAACCTTTTTTTTTGTCTTTTTTTTTTTTATATCATACTAACAAAATCTGATAGCCAAAAAATGACTAAGCTACAAAATTGTAATACATAGTGTACGAGTAAAAGGTTATCATCCATTTATACATCTAGTATCGTCTTTATTCTGGTAACTTACATGAGGCCTATAGGATCTTAGTGTATTAATAATATCCCTACAAGATAGTGTTGAGCTGCTGAAGCTGCCGAACGACGGAGTACTGTGATTTTTGTTAAGACTTACAGTGTCATCTGCATTGTTTTGTGTTAATGGAACCCTCATGCATCTCTACTGCAAGCCAGAGGAACGGCCGGTGGTTGGCTGGGGGTAGAAGGCAAGAGCTGGAAAGCCTTGGCTGGCAACTTGGCACCCGTGGCTCCTTGCTGCCCCTCGCTCCAGCTCCGGATGCTGTAGGAGGGATAAAGCTGGAATCACCAACCAAGACAGATTTTTTTTCCCCTTTGGTCTATAGGAAAAAAAAACCCAAAAAAACCTACTAAATATGGAACAGTCTCCATGTCAAAGACTTTTTTCACCAGGTGACGTCTCAGCCTTCGGCAGAAAAGCATCACTAACTGTCGGGGGGCTGGTCTCATGGCCAGGGTGGGGGTCCTTCCCTTGGTGTTGGGGGGGATCCCCACCCAGCGCCGCTGCTCGGAGGCACGATGCTCGGCTGCGGATGTGAAACCAGTGGGGCAGGCACAAGCTGGGAGAGGGGCTGGGGGGGGACACCAGCCCCCCAGGGACTGAGATCAGAGCAAGGCTGAAGCCGAAGGGGGAGTGAAGGCACAAAGAGGAGCCAGCCCCTGACTGATGGCCGAGGTGGGTGCGTCACTGCTCCAACGCCCTTGAAAACCTCCCCCAAAGAACCAAGCCAATACCACCAAATACCAATGAAGTACTTTATACACCACCACATAGGCAAAAATAGCACTTAAACTTACAAATAAATAGAGGGACTTGGGGGGAAATCTCCTCCCTGTCCTTTCCAAGGTTGTCCCTGGTTTGGTCTCTTATAACCTCAGAGGGGCAGCCAGAGGCAGGTGACAATAGTGGAGGGAGGACTTTGCAGGCTTGAGTGAATCCCAGATGATGGGTGTGACAACGTGTCCTGTTGACACTGCAGCCAGTCCTGTTTGGGGAGCAGCTCAGGGGACCTGGTTTCTCCCCACTGCCCGTTTTGGCACAACCTCTGCTGAAAGCCAAGAAGTGCCACCAGCCCCTGGCTGATCCTTAGGGACCAGCACAGCTATTTACAGCCAGAGAAGACCATCAACACTAACTAAACCTGCCCTGACCCATCTGCTGCTGCTCTGCATTGTCACCCGAGGTGACTAGGAAGAGCCACAGGTCTGAGCTGCTCACAGGGGATGGTCCCTGGGAGGAAACAGGAGCCAGAGGCTCCTCTGCCATCCTGACAACTTTGGATCTGATTAATGGAACCAAACACGTGGTCCCCATAACCACTCCTGGGGGATCCCGCCCTGTGTGGAGCCAAAGGTTCATCAAGGGAGGTGGAAAATGCAGGTATCTTTCCTCTGCAGATGAAGGCAGCTGGTCACGAGTCACTACAAGACCTATCAGGGAAAATAAGTTACAAGCCAGAATAAGCCCTCCCATCTGGGATGGAGACAGGCAGGCTGCAAGAACCACTCTGTTAGCTCCACTCAAGCCAGCGGGAGCTGCAGACATGACTTCAGAGACCATCCAGCCAACAGAAGCACTTTGGGAAACACCAGCCCTGAATTCTTAAGAGCAGCCACTCCCAGTGATGTATTCACTATCACGGGCTGGAACAATGAACTCTCCTTCTGGGATTGTCCCAAATTGCGTAGGAGATGATACACCAACCAGGAGGATTTTGGAGACCACCCCTCTGATCCCTTGGGAAAGTTCCAGAGCTAGGCAGAGATGTGGCAACCTTCCTGGTGATTAGTAAGAGCTGATGAAACACCTCCACAAGGCAGGATGGGATCCCATTTGAATTATTTCCAGCCAATTAGATCCCAAGCTCGCGCTCCCTCCCCCTGCCCTACGCCAGACTTCAGCTGTGTTTTCTGACCTGCTTTATTCCCCTGAAGTCACCTTCCTCTCTCATCCTCCCTTGGAATGGAAGGAGATCACCAACCATAGCTCAGATTCAGCAAGGTCCTCCTCATGGCAGAATTGCAGCCAGGAAGCCCAGGTTGCTTCTGGCTGCTCATCCTTCAAGGAAGTAGGAGCTGGGCAACCCACTATGAAAAAGTAACTCAACTTTGTAGGAAATCAGGGCAAAAAGCAATGAAGCTGACACACCACGATGTTCACCTGCCTGTGGTCTGGCTCAGATCTCCTCTCTCGGTGGTCTCTTTCTGTCTTGTCCTCCTTCACAGATGCCCCATCGTAACACAAGGGCTTCTGAAGACTGGAGGAACCGAGCACTGACTAGGGGAAGCCTGGTAAATATTGCTGTGACTCCTCCCTGTGGTACTGAACAGTGGATCTGAACTGGATTCTCTCACACCTTTAAGAGCATATTGTCCCCTTCCTCCACCCTAATGTCCCTGGGGAGCAGTGGTGCAAAGTTACAGAGAAGAGTAAAGCCTTCAGATGAAGGAGCCAACCCAAGCCTGGGCCTGCAGTGCTCTCTACGGACACAAGAGCTGTGTGGGCTCCAGTCGTGGATTTCTTCTGCTTCAAATGCTCACACTCAGGTCATGCACAGGATTGCTGTGCCCACCAAATACAGCCACTGCTGCAGGAATACTCACAGCAGGACCTTGGCCTTCTCCATACCCAGTAGTAAGGGATGGACATCATACTGAAGAGCCAAGGATAGCTCTGGAAGAGTGGCCAGGCAATCCCTGATTAGCTGTTCAATTAAACAGGCAAGGAGGGAGCCATCTCCTCAAGGCATCTGTCCCACACCGACTGCAGCCAGCGTGGGGCCCTTGGGCCAGAGATGTTGAGATCCAGCTGTCTGTGGAGCTCTGTGCTCAAAAAAAGACTCAATAAACCACAGAGGAGTGAAGGTGGGACCAGGCTGGGCCAAGAAAGGCCAACCACACCTGTCCCCAAACCCAAAGCCACCACAGCTCCTTCCCAAACAGCGACGGGTGAGAAACAAAATAAATATCCCTCTGAAATCAGATGATTTCCCACAACATGCTATGATACAAGGACTCGGTGCAGCCTCCGTGCTCCAGAACAGAGATGTCTTCTGCAAGATGAGGAGAGGAAACACATCCCCAACACCCCGTCCTCCTCAGCCGCCGCGTGCCAGCGTGACCAGTCAGCCCAGCAGGTTTCACTCGAGACAACCAGGGCGGGTGGGAGGGGAGAGACCACGTGGGAAGTGCTCAGCCTCTGGAAACACGCTTTGGAGTTGAACACCACAAGGAAACCAAATCCCTTTGCAGCTCCTGGTGGGGTTAACTGGGACTCACTGAGACTTCAGCCATTGCTGGGGGCAGCTGCCACCCAGAGCACATCAGCTGGTGGGACAACAGGGCAGCTCAGGTGATACGAATTCCACGGGCAAAAACCAACACAGGGAAGAAAAACCAAACCCAGGGAGATCTTTCTGCTCCCTCCTGGAACAAGGGCTGCCTTGGAAAACCGGACGCCGGGATTGTCCTGATTACATCAGTTAGTAAATTATAAACATTGTCCTGCTTTAAAGTGAAAATACTGTGTCTGGTCTCTCGGAGGTGCTAAAGCCAGATGGGGCATCGTTTCTCCTGCCTGTGCACAGGAGCTGATACTGGCGTGAAATGATCCTCTTCACCTCTTCTCTATCAGAGCTTCTCCTGCAATTAAAAAAAAAGACCTTGTTAGGCAAAATGAAGGCAAGAAGAGAGGTCTTTTTGCAGAAGAGGAAATTGAGGGACAGAGTGGGATGTCACCAGGCCTGCTGTGTCCCAACCACTGCTTTCCCCATTAAGCCACATGGCCAACTCCTCAGACTGGCCATCCTACCTGCAAGGAAGTGAAGTCTGAGGCTACACATCTTGCCCTACATCATGAAAACCATGGGAGACCAGGACAGCATGTCCCCAAAATGCCCCCCTTGTTAAGGAGGCAGCAGAGATCTGAGACCAAGCAGGTTCTAGCTGGGGCTGCCAAGAGACAAGCCATCCAGGCAGTGACCCAGGAGATGGAGGGGAAACTCCCTTCCCACCACTTCTCCCAGAGGAAGCACCCACCAAACCTCAGCGTGCACCTCGCTAGCACCTTCCTGATGGCTTCACACAGCTTTAATGGTAAGAGAAGATGGTTCCCACCACGCTGGGAACTGGAGCTGTGCAGAACCCCTTGCTTTCACTGTGGGAATGAGAGCATCAAGCTTTGCTGGCCCAACTGTCCCCATCCCAGAGCTGTCCCCAGCACAGCGGGCAAGAAACCCCATCAAGCAGTCACTCGTTTAAACAACATTCTGTTATAACTTACCTCTTGCTTGTGGGATTTATCCTGCTGGTGAATCCCGTTAGCAGAGCCAGAATTCCCAACAGTCTGCAACAGAGAGGGGACAATATCTACTGAAGAGGGACACAAGAACCCAGGGGTTTTGCCTGCAAGCGCTGAGATCTGACAAGGCTGCCACCCCCTCCCTTTGCAGCCCACTCCACACAAGGAAAGGAGAATGCAAAAAAATCCCTTCCCAAGAAGCTTCCCCACATCCTGGATTGCATCCCTTCCAGCCACAAAACATCCCCCAAATTCCTTATGGACAGAGACGTCGGACTCTTAAAATCCCCATAAACAAACCCCCAGCCAAGGGCAGCGTTAGCGAGAGCGCACAGCGAGCATCTCAGCAGCAAAAAGGACATTTGCCATCCTCCATTTCCCGTCTCTGGGGACAAAGCCTGGCAGCCAGGACAGGCTGTTCTATCTTTAGAAAGCGCAAGAACTTTTAAACATTTATAATGTTTCTTCAGCGGGGATAATGCGGAGCCCTTCAGCTTCAAACTGACGGCACAACCAAGAGAAGTCCCAAGTCACGGCGTGCCAGATGGCAGCTGGTTGGGTCTTGGTCATCAGATTCAGGGTTGTTGGTGAGTTGCTGATGGCAGCAAAACCAGGTATTATGGAGAGACAAGACTGCAAGGTTCAAAAATCCATCATCAGAGGAGTCCCAGCTCCCCAGCTTCCATTCTCGCTGCGACCATGAAGGTGCGTAGTCAACCCTATGGGACAGAGGTCTAGTTTGGGCAGGAAAAACAGGCAGAGATTCCAACTGAGCTCTACTTTGAGAGCCCAGAGTGTTTGCCAGGCACTGGATGGATGGGCAGAATGGTGCTGCTGCAGTGACCCGGCTTTGGGTCTGCACCCAGGGCCACCAGGGAGTCAGGACTAACACCAGGCTCTGTGTCCCACCTGCAGCACACCCCGTCTGGGCACTGAGCAGCTGTAGGACACCAGGAATTGGGTTTGAAATTTGGTCTGAGTACATAGCCATGATAATGAACACAAAGTGGTGCCGTTCACTTGAAGTTAAATAAAAAAAGCTCCCAGAGCAATCACTGCAAATTCTCCAAGAAAAGACCTGAGTGCCAAATCCTCGTTGTTTCCTGCAAAGCTGTGAGATCAGGGTCTCCCAAGCCATGGAATCACAGAATCACAGAATTATCTAGGCTGGAAGAGACCCTCGGGATCATCGAGTCCAACCATCCACCCTACTCTAAAGTTCTCCCCTACACCATATCCCTCAGCACTGCATCTAAACAGTTCTTAAACACAGCCAGGGATGGTGACTCAACCACCTCCCTGGGCATCCTATTCCAGTGCCCGACCACTCTCTCTGTGAAGAATTGTTTCCTAATGTCCAGTCTAAACCTACCCTGGTGCAACTTGAAGCCATTACCCCTTGTCCTATCATCTGTAACTTGGGAGAAGAGACCGACCCCCGCAAAGATCCTCCTCCTCTCTTACAGGACAGACACTTTGAATTAGTGGACGAGGAGATGAAGCCACAGTGCCACTGTGCCCCCACCAGCTCCTGCACCTCCCCTCTGTCTCACAGCAGGACCAGCCGTGCCCACCGAGGGCTGCAGAGCCCAGTGGCTGACGAAGCCTGTGCAGGGAGAGCAGCAGCTTGAGGTAATTAGAGATTTCCTTCTGCAGCGTGCTGTGAAGTGAAGGCTTTGCAGACAAAGACAAAAGCAGTGCCAAGGCAGATCCCTGGGCAACGGCTGCTGCTGTCAGAGAGGGGAGGTCAGACTGGGTTACAGCAGAAACCTGGCTTTGGGGGAAGAACCATCAATTCCCTAACTATTGCAGCAGGATCTCTTTAGGCTGACAACATCCTCAGGCTCAGCCTGAAAGCCCCTGGTTAACACCTTCCCCTCACAAGGGGAGGGATGAACAGATCATACCGAAACCCGGCAGCTTTGATCCAGACTTCCTTGTAACCAGACACGTTAAAAATCTGACATCAATGGGAGTTGGAAGCCCGGCTTTCAGCAATAATCCGCCGCCTGTCTCTTAGCACCACAGTTTGTAGTTGAAGGCATAATACTATCTTGTCGTATCTCTAAGATTCCTTAAGCATGAAAGTATCAAAGTAATACCAGGGATAGATTAGCTGACCTCATAAGGTCCGTTCCCAACTCACTTCATGTAAGATTAGTTATTTCCTACAGTTGGGGAAGAAATAATTACCACCTGGAGGACAGGAACGCGAAAGGGAAGATTTCCTCTTCTCAAGGGACTTAGCATTAAAGCAAACAGCGAATAACTTTCCCTACCCCTCCCCTAGCTTACAGCAGATGAGGATGTCACCACTCATTTTCACTTGATACACACAGAGCAATTACAGCAGATGCTAAAGTCACTCTCTGGAGGTACCCGCAGGATTACAGGACGTCTCTGGACTGCCACAAACGTGTCACCACGACCACAGCTGTCCTGCCCAGTGCTGACAGGATAGGAAGAGACTGTCTGCAACACACAGATGCTCCACTGAGCCAGCAAGAGCTTTCAGGGCTGCAATTTTTGCCACGCACCCTCCTCTTGACAGCCTCCCTGCAGGTACCACCGCACCGCAAACAGCCGTTCCTGGTGTCTGCAAACCCTGCAGGAAAAAGTGTCACCAGGGGAAGAGGAGACTCCATGCCCCCACATCACCTACCACAACATCTCTGCACCTGCATCAGGGAAAACAAGCTCTCTGCTCATTTTCCGTGCCTGCTGGCTTGTTCTGGGCTATCCTAAGGTATCTGGCTTGAATGCGAATTGAAGCTCGTTACTGCAAGAGGGAAACGTTTTCCAGCTAAGAATTTAAATGAGCAAGCGCTGGTGGCTCTGAAAGCCATGACCTGGTTGCAGACACAAGAGAAAATACAGCTAAAAGAGCAAAAAAAAAAAGGAGACGATGCACAAAGGTTGGCACAAGGGGCAGGTCGCTTCACAAGGAGGAACCGGTCAGGACTCAGGCACCGGGTACAAGACAGAAAAAGCCAAATGTGCAGAATCAAGTTATTTACAGCCTTCAATTTCACAAAGGCAGCTGCAATGCAAAGAACAGAACCAGTTTTGCTTTTTTTTTTTTCCCCACAGAAGAAACAAGGAAAGACCTAAGGACCTTGGAAGAGAAGATAGCAACTGGAACGGGATCATTCATAGCGTATCAGCAAACCCAGATCAGATACAGAGATGCCTCCAGGAACCAGTTAAAGAAATGGAAAACATTTTCTCAGTCACCTCCAAAGTTTCTGCTTATGGACTGCAAGGAAATAAACCTCTCAAAGAACAGGGATGGCAGAAACCCTCAACTTTATAATATTATAAGTGCCTGTTCTCAAGGATATTTCTGGATATGAGGAAAAATTTTTTCACGGAAAGGGTTCTCAGCCATTGGAATGGGCTGCCCAGGGAGGTGGTTGAGGCACCATCCCTGGAGGTGTTCAAAAGACAGGTTGATGTAGTGCTGGGAGGTATGGTTTAGTGATGGTGTTGCTTTTTGTTTGTTGTGTGGGTGTTTATTTTTGTCAGTCAGGTTGACGGTTGGACAAGATGATCTTTAAGGTCCCTTCCAACCTAGAAGATTCTGTGATATGTGGTCACACCTCATCGTACACGTAGGGAACAGTGACTCAGGCTGCAACCTTCCCCAAACCACCACATTCATCAACCAATCCTGCAGAGAACGAAAGGATCGATCTGTAATTGCCAACTAGGGAGACTTGTCTTCATTTTAAGGTACCTGTGTTTTCTCGGAGGAGAGCCTCATCGCTTCCATGAGCTTCTCCATCTGGTGGCCCTGCTCCAGCGCGTTGCGCAGCACGTCCTCCGTGCTGACGAGCCGGTGCTGCAGCCGGATCACCTCCGACTCCGAGGAGGGGTCGATCAGGGAGTATCGCCTCTGGTCTGTTACAGATTTTTCCTTGTCCTTAACACAGCAGAGAAAGGGGAAAGTGGGAGCACGTTAGATTGACACCAGCAACAGCAGACACTGGGCAAAGCAGAAATCCACAGTAACTCATAGGACCCTGTTGTGATGCCAACAGTAGATGGGGTCAGAGCACACCTCTGAAGGCAATCCTACCAAGAGCTACCAGCAGCAGCTCTAATTTGTTCCCAGCTGAGTTCAAATAAATTATTCACATTTCAACCACTGGAGGACACTGAAGTACACAGGAATTAGAGGACATTGCTTATTCCTAGATGAGAGAAAGTGTAAAACAGTGTAAGCTAGCCCATCGACCTTCAGTTTCTCCTACAGATTTTAGCCCGATTTATCCAAGGATCTAAAACCAGTGGGAACAGGAAAACACTGGAGAAGGACAGATGGACATTTTTGCTGCTCAATGAGGTGCTGCTAAGCCAGGCCACAGCTCACAGGTGCTGTCAAGGAAGTTCCCATCAGATGCTCAGCAGCACAAAAGAAAACATGAAGACTTGGAGTCAGGGTGAAGGGCTAGAACCCTTCCACGGGCAGCACAGAGCCCTCCAGCCCCAAGACCAGGGCCAGGAGGGGTTTTGATGCCCTCACCAGCACAACCAGTTTCTCTCGAAGCCCTTTGATGTCATCTTTGAGCTTCTGTTCCTTCAGCCTCCACTCGGCTTTGTGCACCTCCCGGCTCAGGTCCCGCTCTGGCCCAGGCGAGTGCCGGTTGGCCTCCAGTAACAGTGCTCTCAGCTCGTTCAGGCTCCTGGAAGAAGCAGCAGCACAAAGAGGTGAAGACCTTTCCAGAGCCCCAGCACCACCACAGTCCTGCCACGCTCCCTCCCACCTCTGTCACAGACCCAAAGAAAGGCCAGCGAGCAAACCTGACCCAACACCACCCAACTGTGAGGGTGGTGAGACCCTGGCCCAGGTTGCCCAGAGAAGCTGTGGCTGCCCCATCCCTGGAGGGGTTCATGTCCAGGCTGGATGGGGCTTTGAGCAACCTGCTGTAGTGGAGGTGTCCCTGCCCAGGGCAGGGGGGTTGGAACTTGATCTCTAAGGTCCCTTCCAACCCAAACCAGTCTATGATTCTGTGAACTTCCACCACTTCGGGGGCTTCAGATCTCCCATCCTCCCCACTGCACCAGCTGTGAAGAGACTGGGACCTGCACTGGGCACCAGCTTAGCTTTCTCATAGATGACTTCAATCAGCATCTACATGGACACTAAGAGGTCTTGCAGCTCCTGGTGAGCACTGAAAGGGCAGTCCCTTTGACAATTCACAGCCTCTAATTTTAATCCAATGCCCACACGAGCACCTCTAAAGAACAGGAAAGCTGGGGTCTGGACTTCAACAATTCAACCTTCAGATTTTTTTTGGTGCTAAATTACAGCACCCTGAATGAGCACGAACACACACCCAGCTCCCTGTCTCCAGCTCTGTCCTTCAGACCTGCAGACTGACCTTTCCTTCTTGAGTAGCTCCTGGCTAATCAGGACCAGTTGCCCTGAAGCATCATGTGTTTTCTTGGTCAAGGCTTCCAGTTCACCTTCCAGCCTCTTCTTTTCTTTCAACACCGAGTCAGCCTTCTTTTCTGCCGTTTTGCATTTATTTTCCAAAGCTACGAGAAGCAGAGGATACAGAGGGAGGAAAGATCACTCAGTCTTTTACTTACATTCCTGCTTTTTGCCTTATTCCTAATTCCTACTCCCAACAGCATGGGTCTGTTTAGCTCTGGATCTAACTCTATTTAAGGGGAGATCTCGGAAACAACACCGAGCACCCAGCTCCATTTATTTCTGCCTTTTTCAGCTTTTGACATTCAATGAGCCCAAAAACCCCTTCTCAAAGGATACAAATACCTTCTGCAGGGGTTGTATTCACCTCCTGAAGAGAGACCAGAAATTCTGAACAATTTTTTTACCAACAGGCAGGAAATGTCATGTTTTATACCTGCCCCTTGCAGCACCTGGGCCCCTGTTTAAGGGAGGACGAGCAGGGAAACACCTAACTCCCACCAGCACTGGATTAGGGAAACTTACCACTTACTTGGGCCCTTAGAGTTTCAGTCTGGGACACCAGCGATGACACCTCTTTGTCTCTTTTACTCAGCTTGTCTTGGAGGTCTGGGGGAGAATGAAAAGACAAGACAGAGATTAGAAGCCTGGAAGAAATGTTCTTTGCAGATCAGGAAGGCACCGAGCGTAGGGCATGGGGGTGGCACCCTCCATTGGCAGGGATGCAGGAGAGACAGAAAAGGGGGTTTCTCACTGCATCTCACCACCATCCAGGTATTAGGAGGCAGGATACACAGCTGGGAAGCCATATCAGACATATTTAAGAAAGCAACCACAACGGGGGAAAAAAAAAAAGGAATAAAACATTAATAAAAACCATAGAAAGAACTTTGAGCACATTTCTTTTTGTTACCTCCTACACTAGGAGGCAGAAACAGTTTTAAAAAGACATGTTTTCTGAAATTGATGCATTTCCCCGCTTAGAGACATAGAATTGAAATACAATGCTTTTGTGGCTCAAATCTGAACCAGTTAGTTTTAGTACATCCTATATGTGGCTTTAGTACATCCTATATATGGCTTATCCTGTGTGGAAACACACACGTGGGCTAAGTGGCATTTTTAAGAGCAGTGGCTGCTGGACCAAGTTACATTATGCACTCCCAAGACAGGAATTACCTGTCAATCAGCATATGATTTGGTATAACATACATATATATATATATATATATATATAAAATCCTGTACCTGCAAAGACAGTGATGAGGCCAACAGAGTGCCTAACTAGAACTGTCTGAACCCACAAACAGCTGGAGGGACACTCAAACCAAACTGCAGTTCAATTAAGTGAAGTTTAAGCCTGCAAAAGCCCCCAGTAACCTCCGTTTAGATGGCTACATCCTCAACAGGACTTTAACAAGAGCTTTGCAGAGAACAGACTCCTTAGAGGTAACTGAGAAAAAGCTGTGCTACCATCAGCCAAATGCCATTTGAAATGTTCTTTAGGGATCACCTTTGAGATCTACACTGACAAGGCTTTTCTGATTGAAAAAAATAACCTTAAGGAAGAATGAAGAAAACTGAGTCTCCTGGGAATAAGGAAGGGAAGACAGGATCTGGAAGCACCTTATGTGTCTTGGAACAGCCCTGAATCCTTCACAGACACCCAAAAGCATTTGCCACACACAGCGATGTGGTAGGACATCACTCCCAACAGAGACCATCTGGGCCATCCAGCTCCAATCTCACCCATCCTGCTGTTGCTCAGACTTGGGGTCACAGTTCCCCTTCTCCGTGAGGGAGGTTGAACACAATTCAGTTTCCAAGCTGCATTATACACATATTCTGAGTGCAAAAACTCTGCACTTTGTTAGAAGGATGGATCTGATTTATAGCAAGCTTAATATAAAAAGTAACCCCATTATCTTAAGCCAATCACATTAATATCTACCATTAGCACTCCCCTCCTAGGAACGAGCTACATTTAAAACGTAAAATCAGTGATGGGATGAAAGTGTGCCCATCTCCCCAGATCTGCCTCCAGCCTGCACCACCCGCATGGTGAGTGTGTAACACAAGAGTGAAAACATCTACCCCTGCATTTGCTCAAGCTGGACTGGAGAAAGAAAAAAAAACCAAAAAAACAAACAACAAATCCCATCCAGCAAAATCTGACAGGAAATGGCTTCCAAAGTCTCCTTCATGCAGCTGTCCCTGCAGGAGCAGAAAGTCAGAACACGGGGTTCCAAAACAAGATGATAGAATTTCATACCTTCCATAGTCTGCTTCATCTTTATCTTTTCTTCTGATATATCGTTAGTCTCAATCATCTGAAATAAATGTAGAATACGAGATGTAAACAGCCCTTTACCCAAAGATTAAAGCAAAGTTAACAACCAAAGCCTCATCCAAAGTGGAAATGTATCCTGTACCCAAGTTATGATGTTTCACTTCCTTCCTGAGGGGGCAACAAAGGTTTCTGAGGAGTCACTTCTGCAGTTGGATACTACTGAAGTACCATCTGAATATGTCCACACACAACAGGCAGCTGAGCACAACAGCAAGAGCCACCCAGGAGGGAAAAGACACCAGATTTTCCCTGTGAGCTCTGGTTCCTGCTGTCTCACACCCAGAGCTCCTGCAGAGCAATGGAAGAGCTGCTCTCCTTCAGACCAGTCTCCTGGGGTTAACCACAGCAATTTCAGGCCTGAATGCTCTTTAGCATTCAACTTGAGAGCTACCAGAAAAGTTCCTCAACTTCTGAAGAATCTAACTATGCCCAAAGTTACAACAACAGTAATAAAACATTGATAAAACAGTAATTATTAAAGAATACATACATTAATAAAAAAAAAATAGAAACCAAATACTAGTCCATATAGAGGATTCTGCCTTTCCCTATCCTCTTTTGTCTATATTACAACAGAGGGTGTAAAGCCAGAGACCACAGAGCTCGTGGCCAAGCTTTCCATTGCAGAAGCCACAATTCAGCCCTTCAAGCCTCTTCACGACCAGCAGCCTTCGGTGGGTTGCTGTGGCCACCACCACCAAAGCCCTGAGGTCTGTCTGAAAGAGCTCGAGTGGGCTGCAGGATGCACCCAAGAGAAGCAGAAGCTTCCCCTAAGGGCAAATATGCAGCCTGATGTACTTTTGATACAGAAAAGCTATTTAACACTCTTTAGAAGCACAGTTGTGGTTCTCCCTTGAAGGTCTAGGAAAGACGGAACCATTCGTGGTCACAAGACATCTGTTTGTTTAAAATATTTGGATAGTTAATACTGCAGTCACATTAAATCAGCTATGACATTTGAAAACAGAATTTGTCCCACAACACTCAAAGGCTTTCACCCATGCATTTCTTCCCACATTTTCCTGATTTTAATCAATACATAGTTAAAATAATTATTTCAAGACTCCCTGGTTCTAATTCAATATCAATGTCCCCCAGAGCCTTCATTTATTTAAAGGGCTCTGGAACAACCCTCCAGCTTCTTTTACATTCAATTCCTGAATATTGGCTATAACATGTGACATGTTGTAATAACAACCCACTTTTCCCAGGGCCCTGGCTGTAATTATTGTTCATGACTGTCTTTACTAGATGAAACATGTCGAGCAACCCTTGAAACACCATTAATGTAGATTCCTTCTTGGCTTTTTGCCTCTCCTGCTCATCTGAGCGTGCCTTTTTGCGGGCATGAAGCTCTGACTTGGCCACCAGTAACTCATGGGCTTGACTTTGCTGCCTAGAGGAGGAACCGATTCCAATGGGGCTGTTCATGTTGGCAAATCAAACATTGGCATTGCATTCGTTTCGCGGGCACCTCAGTCTGGAACGGGGACTACATCACCAGTGATAGATTTCAAATGAGCATTCTTAAGCCGTGCCCATTTCATGGTTTATGAATGGCTTCCATTTAATTTCATTTCATGGCTTTCATCTTCTGCGTCCCCACAGGGACAAGTTGTAAGTTGGCTTTTTTTTTTTTCTCATTCCTCATGAAAAGTCCAAACACAAATAGGGTCCGGACAAGAGCCACAAGTAGCAATCTGTCCCCTCACTCTAGCTCAAAGCCACGTGTCCCTGTGCCACGCCATGAAGGCAGGATGGCATCCTGTCACAAGCAGTCAGAAAAACGAGGATGATGCAAAAAGACACAAAGGCCACCAAAATTTGACCTCTTCGTAGTACTACTGTTTTCATTCTAGCCTTCCCTGGGAGACTCAGGACTCACATTTGCCCAGCCTGGTGCCACCCTGACCATTGGTAGAAGCTCTTCCACTACCAATCCTTAAAGTCAACATTTCCCTGTGTCTCCCATACGTGCTGCAAAGCCTCCCCACTGCCTCTGCTGCATTGTTGACGCACACACCCACCCCTCCCACCCCATTCCATCCCCTCAGCTCCCTAACCGAGCCTCTCAAACCATGCTCCACATGTTCTATCTCAGCATGGGCAATGGCTCTTCTTCCACCCTGTCCATCTGTCCCTAAAGGGCTTTGCTCATTGATACGCTATGGCTGCTGCAGCTCCTTGAAGGATAACATCTGTATTGTAGAAATGATGCTTTTCCAGCTAAGAACGTTGCTTGCTCAGGATGAGAGCCCACCCCAACAAGCCACATTACTTCTATTCTGCTGCCACAGCACTCAAGTGCCTTCAAGCCCAAGTGTGGCCCACTTGCTTCTCTTGACTCTTATTTTCTCTAATTGTGCCACTGCACTGGCTTTCAAGGTGGGAAGACACCTTCACCACGGAGACGCAGTGCAGGAAAAGCACTATCAATGGAAGGTAAAAACATCCAGATACTTTGAGACATAAAAGCCTCAGAAAACTGCACGGGGCAGCAGCTGAGGACTACTCCCAGGAAGGGTAACCAACAAACGAAATGACCCAGAACTCATACATTCGCATGCTGAGAAGGATGCAGGGCCTCCATGGACTGCAACTTGTTCTCTAAGACAAGCACTTTTTCCTGCAATCTGTGGATCTCCTGTTTGCTCTGGGCTTCTGTTTTCTGTAACGTTTCATAGTCCAACATCATCTTCTCAGCCAAAGAAATCTGCTCTTTCAAGAAAGCTATCGCTTGTGTCTGATCTTTATATTCACTGTGAAGTTTCTCCAGTTCATGCACCCTCAGCTCAGCATCTCGACACTTGTCCTTCACATCTTGGAGCTCAAGAAGGTGCTGATTGCTTTTGGTTTCCAGTTGCATTTTCCAGTTGCTGTTGCTTTTTTCCACTTCATCCACAGCCTCCTGCAACTTCAGTTTGAGACTCTCTTTCTCCTTTATATGAACAGCCGTCTCAATGTCATGCTTGGCTTTCAGGTTCTCCAGCTCAAGCTGGTGCTCCATCTTTATACTCTCCACCACCGCCTTCAGTTCCACAATCTCCTTGTGCTGGGTGTCGGGGCCTGTGTTTAATGTGGCTTTCAGGTCCTCCAGAGACTTTTGGTGGTCAGAAGCTAACGTGTCCAACTTGGACTTCCAGTTGTCCATGAGCCCCATGTTCTCATTAGTGGCTTGCTGAACTTTATGCTTTAGGTCAACGATTTCCTGTGCGTACTTCTCATTGACAGACTTCAGCTTCTCCATCTCCTGCTGGTACTTCTTTAAGGTCTTCTCGTACTTCTCCTTTAGCTGGCTGCTCTCCTTCTGATGCTCCTTGTTGGCAGACAGGAGTTGATCTCGGAGACGAAGAGCCTCTGACTGCAAGCCCAGGTTATGCTCGGGGGTCTCTGCTTGGTGGGAGCTCCTCAGGCACTGCCGAAGCTCCTCCACCTCGCTGCGCCTGAGGCTCAGCTCCTCCTCCAGCTGCAGGATTCTGGACTTCTCCGCCACCGTGGTTAGCTGCAACACGACAGAGAAGACAAAGTCAGTGCCCACCTCTCATCGCTGCCTCCTGCCCTTTAGCACGTGTGCTCCAGTGGAAGTAAATCCAAAGTACCTTAGTCAAAGTTCAAATAAACAGGAAAAGGGTACCCAGCACCCTCCAGTCTGAGTAGAGTTTTGCACCAGGGTAACCATCACCAATAACTCTAACGGTTATTACGGCTTTGTGCCAATTGCAATTGTTTGTTTTTTTTTTCTAATACAAACCTCTCGTTTTCCACAGAGAAACACGCATCTTTGAAACAACCCTGGGAACCCGCTAGAGAGCAACAGCGGTTTATGAAAAATAATGTCCTGAAAGGGCATTATGTTTCCAGACTCGGCATCTCGCCGGGCGATGCACAGAGGAAATGTGACTGCACATGCAGGAACATTGCAAGCGTTGAAACCAGCATGAAGCACATCATGTTTCCTTTATTGCTCAGCAATCCTCAGCCCTCGCCTCTGCGTCGCAATTTGTTTACCCTGGTGTAAAATGGGAGAGGGTTTTTTGTTCTTTCTTTTTTTTTTTACACGTGAGTAATTGTTAGAGTTTATTAGCGAAGTGAAAATAACGTAGAAGGCTAGAGGATGCAAGACAATAAATCTGGCCATGGCTAACACTGAGCATAAGGGCTATGGATCAATGTCTCAGGAACTGAATGGGACCTGACGGGGCCGAACTACCTGCTCATCACAGGGAGCTCAGGGTGCGGCAGCTACAGGCGGAGAAGAGGAGATTGGACTAGATGAAATATTAGAAAAAGGCAGAAGAAGAAAGAAAACCAAGCCAAAACACAAGCAATCAATTCCATTTCATTTCAATTGCCATTTTTCCCACTAACCATCAGCCCAGGGGGCTGGGAGGGGGGGTATTTTAGATGAGGGCAAGGAGGCAGTCAAGCCCTTTTGGAGAACCTCATGGTTGTGTTTTCTACAGCTCTGACAAATCCACTGGTGAGGAACAAGCTCACTGTAGGCAAGTTTGACACTCCCCACACCACACCAGGGTGGAAAAGCCCCTTCTACATCTGGTTGCTTTTAGGTTTGGGAGCGTTGTTCATCTGGGCAACCTGTCCTGCTGCAGGCATGGCCAAGGGCCAGAGCTGGTCCACCTGCACTCACCAGTATCTTCCATTTCAGACGGCAGCTCCCACAGCTGGAGGGAGGACAAAGGGAATGCTGATTGCAATGTTATTCCCTAATTCCAGCCCGGGGGAGCCTGGAGGCAGAATGAATTGTGCAGCAGGGTGCAGATATTATTTTGGGCATGTTAATCGAGAGATGAATTGTGAAGAGCTCATGTGTCAAATGGTGGCATGGGGCAGAGAAGCAAACTCAATCCCAGAAACAAGTCCCCCACACAAGAAGCAAAGCTCAAAATTATATTGTACTACCGTTTCCAGGAGAGAAAGCAAAGGAAAAAAAAAAAAAAAACCAACAAAAAAATGAGGGAAGCCTAAATCCAAGCCAAAAACCAATCAACCCCACAAACCAAATTAAAAAAGAAACCCAAAGCAAGGCGTCATGAGCGTCAACGCAGGGGGCAAGCGTGCTGTTCTGCAGGCAGGGCAAGTGGGGGTCGATTACCCTGGTGTCCTCTAATTCTCTGAGGAGTTTTTCAGCCTGTGCCTTCTCAAACAGCAGGCTCTGCTCGAGCTCCCGTATTCGGGCATGCTCCAACTGCGTCTGAGTCTGGTCACACAGAGGGAAAAAAGAAGAAGAGTGGAGATGGGAAAAGGGGAAGGGAGAGAGAGAGAGAGAGAGAGAAAGGAAAGAGGGAAAAGAGAGGGAAAGAGAAGGCTGCAACATCATCTTCAGTGTACAAGACAAGGAAAGGCAGTTCACAACAGGAGGAAAATGATGGGAAAAGGGGAAGGGAGAGAGAGAGAGAGAGAGAGAAAGGAAAGAGGGAAAAGAGAGGGAAAGAGAAGGCTGCAACATCATCTTCAGTGTACAAGACAAGGAAAGGCAGTTCACAACAGGAGGAAAATAAAGATCCAAATAAGCAGGAAAAAAAAAATCCAACCAAACAGAAAATGGTCACTACGGGATTTTACATGGTACTCGTAGTGGGTCTTCATAGAAAAATGGAATCTGTGATGGGAAAATGTCCCTCTGCATTAGTGTTTTCCTGCATCAAGACTATACTGAAGACACTTCTCAAAAGCAAAAGCTCCCACCACTGCAGATCACCAGTACAAGACCCTTGCACCACACAAGAGAATGCAAAGCCCTTGCAGTGATTCTCCACATCTCTCCTCTAGAGGAATCACAAGGCAGACTGAAAAGGGTTGGGAGTTCCCATCCTCTTTTTGCTCCGGAGACAGCGTGAACCCTGTGCTGGGTGGGGGGTTAAAAAAAAAAAAAAAAAAGAAAGCAGGTCATACTGTACACAGCATGTTGCTAAAACCAAAAATACACTGCACTGAAAACAAATCAAAGAAATTTAGATACCAATCTGTTATATAAATCAGTGCTTTAGGTTTGAATATGGCTGCTATGAATTTCAAAGTGATTTTTGCACGCTAAGGCTCAAAACAGCCTTGTACACAGAACTACTTTTTGCTTTGTTTCTGCTTTTTTGGTTTGGTGTTTTTTTGTTTTTAAACAAAGCACAAGAAGTTTGTGTATCCTGTCAAATCCAGGAGCATCGCCTCAGGGCACTGCTTTGGTGCCCTTCACTTTTAAACCAGAAGTGCCATAAAGCTGCACTTTGTAATAAACCTCAGGGCCCTACAGCGACCACTGTAATAGCATGTAAAATTTCCCTTAAATAAAAGAGGAGAGGAGACATGGAAAAACACATGCAGACTCCGGCCTTCGCATTTTTTTAGCTTACAAAACCAACATTTTCCTTTGAATTAGACCGGACCTACCAAAAAACAAACAAACCTTTATAAGAACCTTTTTTTTTTAACCCCCATTTTCTGCCCTTCTTTTTCCATGTAATTGTTTGTTTCCCCCTCTTTCTACTGGAACCAGTTTTAGGGATGTTTTGCCCTTTCCTACAGTAAAGCAAGTTTTGATTAGTTGTGTACAAACAATGGAAAATGAAGTTTGGAAAAATCCATATTTTCCTCTTATGGCTTGAAAGGTATCATGATATATCTATTTATAGATGGTCAAAATCTCAACTGCCGGATGTATTCAGACTGCTCCATATTTTATGTGGTCTGTTTGACCCCTGAAGGCAGGAAAAAAAGATGTGGTGTCAAAACCCCAAACATTATCAAAACCCCCAAATAACATCGCTGAAGTGCAAAAAAGGGTTGAATGCATCCTAATAAGAAAAATAAAGAAATTAATTTTGTACTGAGCAGCTTCTCCCACTCTGTTAAACTCAAGGATCCTCATTTCAAGATGGAGTTCCAGGCTTGACTTTATTTATGGGGATAATTATTCCATTGATACTAATGAATTTTCCTCAGTTTACACTAGCTCAAAATCCCCAAGTGAAGCTTCAGCAACACAAGCTTTTGAATTTACCTTAACTGGTGGCAGCATGTCAGGTATTGGCTACCTGAAGATGGTGACCTATCACAAAACTAATCTCTGAGTCTCCCAAAGAAATTCTCTTAAGGCTCCTGAGGTTGACATTCAAGATTCCAGTCAAGCTTGCTCAGTATCTACCAATCCTCCTATTTTCCAAGTCTGGAAAAACACATGAAAATAGAGGAGAAAAATAACCAGGGAAGAAAGTACAGTCCTTAAATACAGCTTCACTGAAGATTGGCATCAAATCTTGTGTTATTTTTATTTTATGCAAATCTGTTTGCCTTGCCAGTGTGACTTACAGCCTTAAATTCAAAGTTTTCCTGCACTTTGAAGAAGTTCAGATGTGAGTTTTAGACTTCTTGCTATTAGCCTGAAATTACTATTCACAAATGACAAACTGACTTCCCACTGGTGTTCAAGGTATGAGGTAGGTTCCAGGAGATGAGCATGAGATAGTTCCTTGAAAAGGTTAACATTTCCTGTAACAACAACAGTCTTCCACCATTAAAAGCCTTTCTTAAAAGGCTTTGTTTTCCTGCAATTGCTTTCCACCTTCCAAGGCACTATAGCGCCAGCACTGCCAACCAGGATCAAAAATGGGTTGAATTCACAACTATATTTCAAGGCTCAATCTGCAGCTCCTCCTTCTTTATCACAAGCCCAAACACTGAATGTGTATTTCCAGGCTTCAGACACATTGATTTCTTTGCCCAAAGAGTTTCTCGTGATGCTGCCTGCCACGCTCAGCACCCGAGAGTCCCAGCTTTGCTCAAAAACTGCATGATATCATGAGAAACACCACGGAATTTAGTCTGGCCTTCAGCAGAAACCCAAGATCCAGGGACCATGGAGGAGATAATCTTTTCTTATCATCATGACTGTTTATCTTGCACTTAACAGCCAGGAACATTCTCCCCTGAGTAATCAGAAGGTGGTTGTTGACCAGAGAAGGGGAGACAACTGTCTCTGGGTTTTGCTTTTGGCATTTGGGTGCTTACTTGAGCTCTTGGGGATTTTACATGAAGAATATCAGGGACAACCATTTCCCAGGAAACATACTGCACCACAAAGGAGCACTTATCCCCCTGATTTCCAATGAAAGATATGTTTTTCTTTAAGTGAATTACATGCTTCTGGAAACCCTCACAGTCTCCACCACAAAGCAGGAAGGTGAGAATTAACTCCAATGGGTCAATCATTCAGTCTCAGCATCCAAATTAGACAGGACAGAACGTAAAACCTGACCACAGCAAAGCCCTCCAAGAACGTCTGTGCTGTCACTGGTGTCGGACCCACAGGGGAACACCCCAGTTCTCTGGGTCACAGGAAACCAATCTGCTCCATGACTCTTTTCCTAAGTTATTTGATCTTCTGTACAGATGAACACGGATGTGGGGACAGGCCCCGGGTAGCCTGCAAGAAGCTCAGCCACATCCCCCTTGCAAAGCAACTCCTTCCCAGCCCGAATGAAGGTCAGATCTATCCTCAGCTTGGGACCTGCAGTCATCAGAGTACTTATGTCACAGCACCTTAGCATCTTGCTAAAACATTGCAGCTTTTTAAAAAATATATACTTAAATACACCTGCCAGCTAACCCTGGTCCCATTGCTGTTACTCCCCAGCCAGGCTTAAACACTTAGACAGGGCCAATTAACTGCTCTTAAAGGGAGGGACGGAGCAATCACCGTTCTCCAAAGCACTGTGGAAACCTGTCACCTAAGCTCAGGAATCAACAGAAACCTGATTTTGCACCCACACACTAGGCAGAAACTGCACTTGCTGTCTTTTAGCAAAAGCCTGCTACCAGCACGTTGCTGATTTATACCCTGTCAAACACACCACTCCGCTTCTGGATAAAGAGGAGAGGTTTATGCCACAAGGGGCAAAGCCACAGCAAAATACTCCATTGCCTGGTTTTCCCATTTTCCTGGGCTTTTATTGGTATGACCAACAGTAAAGCACAGGAGCAAGTCCCTTGACATTTCTAGATGTTACTAAACTCACACTCTAGCTAAAAATCAGGGAAACTCCCAATACACACACGTAGAGCAGAGCCCTGCTTTCACAGACATATTTTCTTTGCTTTTTTTTCCCCCCACCACAGAAAAGCCTCCTATTCCAGTGCAAGCTCCCAGCACCACTTCCAGTTTGCACGATATTCACTGCAACAGCATCGCTCCGAGGAGCAGCCCTTCCCTGTGAAAGGGCACCCAACGTGCCATACCCCATGCTGGTGGGCAGAGGACTCCAGACGAGGACACCACAGGTCAAACACCACCCGGCATTTCAGCTGGAATAAACCAGCATCTGACTGGGAGACTGTGTGCCAATAAACTGCTAATAATGGGGCCAGCGACTGAGCAGTCAAATTATTTCTACAGTGGAAAAACATAATGTTGAAACGCGTTGAGATACAGTCAAGTCAGATTTTAACATGGCTTGGAGACTTATGGTGACTTTTCAAGCCAGGCTGGCTGTGTGTGATTAATTCTAGGCAGCTCCTCATGTTATTAGTCATTGGGCAACGTACCAAAGAATAATCTTCACAGTTTACACCACAGTGTTCACAGCAGGTCCAAAGCCATCATTATAGATAAAGCGTTGTTTAGAGTTGAGCAAAAAGTGGCAGAAATTACTCGAGTGAGGCCCCACATGCAGTTTCAGGTTTTGACCCCACGCTTTGGTAAGGGTGTGAGGAATTACCTCCAGATCCCCCTTCGTGATGGATTCTTCCTCCACACGGAACTGCAAGTCCTCCACTTTCCTGGAGAGGGGAAGAGACACAAATAACAGTCACTAACAGTCAGTAACACCCACACCACCATCCCATTCCTAAGCAGCCACTGCACGTGGGCCTCCCCTGCACAACCAGAGTCTGAGAGGAGATGGATACAGACAACCTTTGCATAAGAAATAGCTCAGCAGAAGCTAAACAGCAAGAATCACAGAATGGTTTGGGTTGGAAGGAACCTTAAAGATCATTGAGTTCCATCCCCCTGCCCTGGGCAGGGACACCTCCCACCAGACCAGGTTGCTCCAAGCCCCGTCCAACCTGGCCTTGAACCCCTCCAGGGATGGGGCAGCCACAGCTTCTCTGGGCAACCTGGGCCAGGCTCTCACCACCCTCACACCAAAGAAGTTCTTCCTGGGAAGAAACAACTGCAAGCACAACTGCTGTTCCCTGACACTGGGATCCTGAAAACATGAAAGCCACAACCAGGTTTCACTGGTTTCCTTCCTCTGTTATCCTGCAGCTGAACAGCAGGCAATTCCTGTGCCAAATGCACAGGATCCATAGAAACATTCCATGGGAATCAGAGCCTCTGCCTTCTTGGAGGAGGGTGGGTAACGCTTAATGGTTCCACAACGTGGAAATGGTGAGCTACCCTGGCAGAAAAGCCTTCACCAGAGATTGCACAGGCCAGTTGTGCATAAATGCACATAAAACCACATGCACCAACGCAGACACACCTAGGACTCTTCTGCAAAGTCTGAAGAGAAAAATGCAGTAACGATATAAAAAAAAAATAATTCAATCTTCTGCTAAACTCACTCCTCTTTGTTCTCTTTACTGATTTAAAAATAAGGCAATAATGAGGATGTTGGGCTGGTAGCCAGATGTAGGGACTCTGATTCTGTTACAGATAAAAATAGCCATGAGTGTACATATCTAACTTCATAAACAAGCTTCCTTGTCTAAACCTCCTCTAATTAGAGGAGGCATCTGTTGATACTTAGGAAAGAACTCAGCTGTCTTGGGTTAAAGGGCCTCCTGGAGCTGGGAAAGTGAGCTGCCTACCAGGGGAACAGGGAGACTTGTGCACAAAAGAACAATTCGTCCTCAGGAGGGGTATCATTCAACTGATATCAACACTGTTTTCAGTTACTTAATACACAGAAATGTCTTTCTATTCCCACTGAAGAATTTAATTATACGTATGGAGCAATTGAACTCCAAGAACGACAAGCAGATCTTCACTCTTATCCAGAGAGGAAATGTATGTGTCTTCATATACACTGGGATGGGGCCTCTGGGATGTGGGGAGATGATGAATCACACTCCAATAAAGCTGTAACTCCAGTTTGATTTCCCTTCCTTGGAAGGAACATCCTTAAGATGAGGCCATCACAAATAAAAGGGAAAGAAGTGGTCTTTAGGTTGTGGAGAAAGGTTAGGGCTCTGGTATGGCCCAGCCTGCACAGTTCTGTTATTTTACACTGTATCCTTCACCAAAAACATCTGAAGACAAGGTTTTGTCAGTGTCCACACCCCTGCCATGAGCTAGTCCCACCTTTACCAAGTAATTCCATTTTACACAGTGACAGGGCCGGGTTTGGTGAGGGTATTGCATCTCAGAGTAACTGATGCTACTGGAGCCCTTCATTCCTTCAGGCAAATAGTGCTGCTTCTCCCTGCTTTGTGTTGGGAACCAAACAAGAAGGAAGATGGCTGAGAACCCTCCATAACAACACTGCCCAGAAGGACATCGAGACTATTTGGCCTTCTACAGACAGTGGGAGATCAACTGTTGGTCACCATTGTATTGTCAGTGCAATGTTTGCCATGGTCGAACGCTCTTGGAGAGGGAAGCAGCCCATCAAATATTTATCAGGGTCATCACAGAAGTGCATATTCAAAAAACTTGACACTGCTCATGTCCCAAAAATTAACTCGCTGCAACCCCACTGAATGCTATAGCATCGAGTCTCCTCTAAGAGCCGTAAAACGTAGGAATGCAGACTAATTGGAAATTAGCAAAAATTAACTCGCTGCAACCCCACTGAATGCTATAGCATCGAGTCTCCTCTAAGAGCCGTAAAACATAGGAATGCAGACTAATTGGAAATCAGTGGGCATGTTTAGTTTGGAGAAGAGGAGGCTGAGGGAGGACCTCATTGCCCTCTACAACTCCCTGAAAGGAGGGTGTAGAGAGGTGGGGGTTGGCCTCTTCTCCCAAGGTAATAATGACAGGAGCAGAGGAAATGGTCTGAAGTTGCAGCAGGGGAGGTTTAGATTAGATATTGGGAAGAATGACTTTCCTGAGAGGGTGGTCAGCACCTGCCCAGGGAGGTGGTGGAGTCCCCATCCCTGGAGGAATTTAAGAAACGTGTAGACATGGCACTTCAGGGCATGCTCTAATGCCCGAGATTGTTGGGTTTTGTCTGTCTGTGGGTGGGTGTGGTGTGTGGGTGCATTGGTTTGGGGTGTGGGGATTTTTTTGGGTGTTTTTTTTGTTTTGTTTTTTTTGTGGTTCGACTCAATGATCTCAAAGGTCCCTTCCAACCATGAAGATTCTGTGATTCTGTGAAATACTTCGCTGCTCAGTTGCGATTAGCAGCAAATGGGGGAAGTCACAGTGCTGGATGCCCAACCCTAGACAAGAGTCACATCAGACACGCAACTTCAGCAAAATTGTTCCAAACTTCCCCATTACCCGAAGCAGCACAGCCCTTCCCTACAGGCAGGCAGACCACAGGGGCCAGCAGAGGGAAACACAGCACACTGGAAGTACTGGAAGACATCCAAAGATGACTTTCCCAGTCACCTTCTTCTCCTTAGATCCAATGAGACTCTTCCCCAAGAACATCATGGAAGACATCCAAAGATGACTTTCCCAGTCACCTTCTTCTTCTCCTTAGATCCAATGAATGATGTTTTTGGGGAAGAGTCTCATCTCCCCCATGACTCCATCTCCTCCACACCCATCCACTCCTGCTTTACCTCTTCTCCTCTTCCAGCTGGTTCAACAGCTCAATCTTCTCCTTCTGCATCCCATCCACCAGGGCTCGTGCTCGCTGGAGGTTTCCTTCTGCCTCCGTGACGTACTGCAGCAAAAAGAGAGCCCGAGCACAAAAGTTAACAATGTTTGAAGTACAAAGTTGTTCTAAAAAAGGATCAGAACAAGGGAACAGAAGGCTTTGATGATATGTTTCAGAGGATGCTATGGCAAGAAGGTAGATTTTCCACAGAGCCCAGTACGTGGGTAACAAAAAGAAATATATTGCTCCATCTCCAGCAGCTGTAAATTTGATCCATTGGACCCTCTGGAGAATCCAGCTCTGATTCAGAGTTAAGAACTTGAAGCCTGAAAATTTGACCAGTTTTGAAAATCTGGTCTGAGATCATCAGGTACAAGCCAGCCCTGGGCATGAAGCAAGGAAGACATTTCAGACTTGTGTTAATTCGTTTGTTATTGATAATTACTAGAAAATACTACACACAAGGAAGATGTCAGCTTGCAGCTGATGTGGCAATTTTTCCTGCATTTCTGACAGTCAGCTGTGACCCACCACAAAGACACACAGTGCCATCCCTGCTCCCTAGGAGCTGACTGGGGTTTATAAACATGAATAAGGAATTTGGGGCAACAGCAGTCATTGAAGAGCCACATATTGATGAATAGCAAACGCATAACTCCTTTCTTTAAACATCCAAGTGCATAAAATATCATTTGCATAAATGTTTGTGCAATAAAACCCCTAATGTGATCAGCCTGTTCTCCTTACAGATCTCTCCACTGCGTTAATGTGATCAAAAAGTCCTCTCTGGCAGGAAAGCAGTGACATATGAACTGAGCTGACGTTCTCAGCAGCGTCCGATAGCATCAAAAAAACACTGCAATGCAGTCACAGCCAAGGCCAGATTGGGTGGCCAAGGGGAACAAGTTTGCCCTCCACTTCCATTTCAGCACTCAAATGTATTGATCCACCAGACACAAACTGTCTACTGTCCTTTTTTCTGGCACTGTGCTTTTTCTGCTCCTGGCTTGGGGCAGAGAAAAAGCATGTTCCACTGGCAGGAGTGGAGAAAGAACCTCAGCTTAAGCCCACCATACAGGAAAGCTGCCTCTACATGAAAGAGAGAAATTCAGAGCCCAGGTTTCACATCAGGAAGCTATACACAGGTAATGTTACCATGATATGAAACTTTCAGATGATGTTGGATATTTGTGTGCTACCAACAAAGCCACATCATCTCCTACCTGCTCGTGTTGGGCCTTCATGATGGCAATCTCTTTCTCCACCTCACAGATGTGGCTGGTGGCTTTGGCAACCTCAGCCCGCTCCAGGTCACGCTCTGCCAGTAGCTGTTCGATGTGCTGCTGCTTCTCCTTCAGTGCCTCCTGGAGAGCTGTGGTGCCAGAGATTTTTCGGGCATACCGAGAAGAGGTCTCTGTCAGCTGGAAAAAAAGAGTTAAAAAGAGACAGGGGTAAAGCCATGTCCTTTCCAGTCTAGAGCAGCCTGAAGTCCCCTGTTAGATCTGGAATGCATCTCACCTACTGATCCCAGAATGGTTTGGGTTGGAAAAGGTCTTATAAACCATCTTTTTCCAGTTTAGAGCAGCCTGAAGTCCCCTGTTAGATCTGGAATGCATCTCACCTACTGATGCCAGAATGGTTTGGGTTGGAAGAGGTCTTGAAAGCCATCTTGCCCTGGGCAGGGACACTTCCCACCAGAACAGACTACTCAAAGCTCCGTCCAACCTGGCCTTGAACCCCTCCAGGGATGGGGCAGCCACAGCTTCTCTGGGCAACCTGGGCCAGGCTCTCACCACCCTCACAGCAAATAATTTCTTCCCGAGATCTAATCTAAATCTGCCCTCATCATTTATTAGGCTGTACAGGGCTGCAGATCCAGCTGTGGACCCTACAGGTGGGGTTAATAAGTCTGCAAAACATCTGGACACTCTTTTCAAGCTCAATAGCTCTGCCACACTGCACTGAAAGGACCACTTCCCAAAGGGCAGGATGTGGGGTGGGGAACTGGGTCAGGAAAAACTATCATGTATCGTATCATCCGCCTTCTTAAATATATTTTTATTGATGACCTGCACTGGTGCAGTCCCAACCAGCGAGCTCAGCTGGGAGGACTGAGCTCAGCTGGAGGCTGGTATGGGCTCCTTGGACCCGCTCCCAGTGATGGATCCCGCACTCTGGTCCCTGGCCAAGCTGACTGCAGGTGCTGTGCAGCACACGCTACGGCACAGCCAGAGCTCTCAATAACCCTGCTGCCTCCTCTGGGGCATCCGCCTCCTTGAGTGCCTTCCAAAGCACACAGCATGTCATCCAGGACCAGTGTCACCCCTCTCCATAATAAAACACACAGTCACTGCAGGAGCTTTCTCGTAGCTGTTCGACACAGCAGCTACACAATCACGTGGGACAGGGAACAATGGCATTTTTCTGCCAGGATCCCATATAAAGCCTGTTCTTGATAGTGGAGCTGAGATTTGTCCTATTGCAAATAGCAGTTCAGGCTCTTTAATGGTCCCATGGAGACCAGTCCATGGAAGGAGTCTTGTTTGGAAGGTTTAGGTGGTGGTTGGTTGGTTTTTTGGTTGGTTTTTTTTTGTTTGGTTGGTTTTGGTTTTTTGTTTTTTGGGTTTTTTTTTTGTGGTTGGACTCAATGATCTCTGAGGTCCCTCCCAACCACTACAGTTCTGTAATTCTGTGGGTAACAGTACCTCACACCCCACTGCCTTCACCTCACTGATGGTGAAGGAGCAGCTGCTGAAAACAAAACCCCAACCCTCCCACCTCGTAGAGCCAGGTGATGGCAGAAGTGGACCGAGGCTGCAGAGAGCGTAGACAGAGACACTTACCAGCCCGCTGCGGCTGGGCCTGCCCCCGACAGACGATGCCACCGAGCTGACGGAGCTGATGGAGGAGCTGCTGGGGCTGTGGGTTAAGGCAGACACTCCCATGGCCATTCTCTTGCTCTTCTTTGCCTTGGCGGGGCTGGTTGACGGGAACCCGATCCGGATCACCTTGTGGATGGGAGCAAAGAGGCCAAACTTGGGAGGGCACTGAAAATACCTGTAACGCAGGAGATGCACCAAGTCAGGAGGGGTAGAGCATCCATCTCACCCCAGCCTTGCTAAGCAACACGCAACCCCATGGATGAGCTGAGGGGTCTGGAGAATAAGTCTTATGAGGAGAGGCTGAGGGAACTGGGGTTATTCAGCCCGGAGAAGAGGAGGCTGAGGGGAGACCTTATTGCTCTCTACAACTCCCTGAAAGGAGGGTGTAGAGAGATGGGGGTCAGTCTCTTTTCTCAAGTCACAGGCAACAGGACAAGAGGAAATGGCCTCAAGTTGCTCCAGGGTAGGTTCAGGCTGGATATTAGGAAAAATTTTTTCACTGAAAGGGTTATCAGGCATTGGAATGGGCTGCCCAGGGAGGTGGTTGGGGCACCATCCCTGGAGGTGTTCAAAAGACGGGTTGATGTAGTGCTGGGAGGTGTGGTTTAGTGATGATGCTCCTTGTTTGTTGTGTGGGTGTCTATTTTTGTCAGTTAGGTTGACGGTTGGACAAGATGATCTTTAAGGTCCCTTCCAACCTAGAAGATTCTGTGATCCTCTCGGTGCTTTGCTGTGACGTTGTTCCCCGTGTGCAAGCGGTTGGATTATTGTCCTCTCCTGCCTCTTAAGAGCTGTGGCAAATCTCCGTGTCCTCACTCGTGGTGCTTATGGAGGGAAAGCCGAGATAACGCCACGCACTACTTGGTGCACACGTTGGTGAGACACCAGGAAAGACCCATCTGGGAGCGTGGATAGCACAGGGATCCCAGTGCATAAACACTGGGAGAGCACACACACTCCTTCCTTACCCCAACACACTGGGAGCGTGGATAGCACAGGGATCCCAGTGCATAAACACACTCCTTCCTTACCCCAACACACCGACCTTCCCAAAACCCACGTGGGTTCTCTACCCTGCTTGGCAGGAGAGTCACAGGGCAAAGCTGTCGAGTAAAAAGGTCTGAATCGCACAGCTCTGTATAAATGTTCCTCCCAAAACAGAAGGGGAAGATGGCAGCTCCTAACTTAGAAGCTAAAAATACCATTACAGCAAATTCCAGTGCGTGCCACCTCCTCTGGGTGGAAAAGAAAGAGAAACTGGTTCCCACGCAAACAAACGTAGAAAGAAGGAAGCTTTAAAAAGGGAGGATCAGATAATTACGGTGCAAGCTCTTTTCCACAGTGAACCTGATGATTATGTCTCTCTGGAGCCCTCTTCCAAAATACAAATGAGCCAAAACCCACAGTGTGAAACCTTGGAAACCCCTTCAGAGCCTGGGCCGAGGGTCAAGCCAGGGTTTATCTGTTGCTGGCCAGCTGCACTGCAGCAAGTAGAACCAGATCATCTCCAGGCGGCGCATCCCCTTGTTTCAAGGGAGTTGTCAACACAGAACACTGTCTCCATCAGTGCTTTCTCACAGGCTTTACAGCCAGTTTAGGGGAAAATACGGGGCCATATAGTAGTCTGTCTTAAATCAACATTAAAAGAGGGTCCTAATGAATAAAGGACACAAATCCAGCTTTGCTAGCACAAGTCCTCTCCCTCCAGATGTGAGCAGCTGCTTCCCTGGTTCCCTTCTATTTTTGGGTGCTGCCAGCCACACGGCTGTGTCACCGGCACATCTCCGTGTGCTTGGGAGACCAGAGAACAGCCTGATCTCCTGCCAGATGAGAAAGTGATTCCTTTTCAAACATCTGCTCAAGACCATATTTTTTTTTCTATAACAATCTTAAAAAAAACAAGCAAAACCAAACCCTCTACAATCCAAAAATCACTTTGGCCCCTCTGTTTGCTGTTAACGCAGGCTCTTGGGTTCAGAAAGCCATACCTCAGGCTGACCTTGCTACAGAACAGAGACCCAAGGAAGAAAAATCAGCCTGAGCTCTTGAAAACCAGCCAAAACCCTGCTCAGCATCATGTTCTCAAACTGAAGCAGGCACAGCCCTTTCCACAGGTCCAAGCACAGACTGGTACTCGTGGTGGTACAACGCCAAAGTCCCTCCAAAGCCCCCTGACAGCTCTTAGCAAGTCCAGACTTGCATCACCCTTTATCTGCTCATTTTTCTTTCATTCCAGACTGGAAGCAGTTCCAATTAACTTTTATAGTTCAGAAGCAGGAGCTGGGTCCAGAACACTTGGCAGCAAAGAATAAAAATTAAAAAAATCCGCTTGAAAACCAAGGGCTGCTCTCACTGAGTGCTAAGGAGCTCTATACCCACGGTACAGAAAAGAAACGGGGAAAGAAAAGTGACATTGTGATGGCAATGCAAACCGCAGGTGAGAAAACAGCACAGGGAATTTTAAAATAGATTAAAGAAAAAAAAAAAATATCTTCAGCATCCAAGGCCTGTAGCTGACATGTTTCAGAAAGCAAAGGCATAAATAGTTTAGTGGGCTAAGACTCCCATAGGAACAGAGGCAGAGAAGGAAGAGCAGTAAATAAGTAAAGGTTAATATACCAGAAATGAGTAAGTGGAACTGCCTTGGCTTTGGGGATAAGAAACCAAAAAAAAAACACACCAGCATCTCTCTAGTCTCCTCTGCAGATGGAAAGCAGCCACAGCAAACCTCACGGTGTCTCAGCAGGACCCATACAATGTAAGGAGAGGGGCTCACCACAGTGCTGTCCTCCTCTCAGGCACTGCTGCTGAGCCACAGCCTGCAGGCAAACCCCACCAGAGATCCACAAGCAGCTCAGAAAATCCTGGCCCTTCATCCTTCCCTGGATGCACATCCAGACCTGGACACCCTTCCTGAACCTGCAGGAGAATCACAGTGACCCCCCACAAATTTCAGGCGATTCACCACCTTCTCAACTGGAGAACCCACAGCAGCAGAGATGGTGACAGAAGCCCTTCGCTCGCTCATTTGCCCACGTTTGCTCTCCTGCTTCCACCAGCCTCTGCTGTCTCCAGTTGCTTCTTTGGACCCCACTCTCCTGCTGTCGCAGACTGCTCCTGCGGCAGTGAGCGCTGGTCTCGGGCAGCCAGGCAAAGGATGCTCACTAGATGGCAACCACCACCAAAGCAGGGAGACTCCAAAGTCCTGGGCGGTCTCTGTCTCTGCCCAGACTGATAACAAGGCCAAGTTCTGCACCTGGGTCCAGGCAATCCCAAATACAGGTTGGGTGAAGAATGGCTGGAAAGCAGCCCTGAGGAGAAGGATTTTGGGGTGCTGGTGGATGAGAAGCTCCAGGTTAGGTGGAGAATGGCTGGAAAGCAGCCCTGAGGAGAAGGATTCTGGGGTGCTGGTGGATGAGAAGCTCAACACAAGCTGGCAACGTGCACTGGCAGCCCAAAAAGTCACCTGCATCCCAGGCTGCATCCCCAGCAGTGTGAGGATTCTGTCCCTCTGCTCCGCTCTGGGGAGACCCCCCTCCAGTGCTGCCTCCAGCTCTGGGGCCTCCAACATCAGAAGGACATGGACCTGTTGGAGCAGGGGCAGAGGAGGCCACGGAGATGATCAGAGGGCTGAAGTACATTTGCCTTCCACACAGAGACAAGAAATCATTTCTGAGCACCCCAAGGGTTAAGCTTAGAGATGATTTGTAATGTATGATAAAGAAAGCAGGGGCTTGGATTAACTCTATGACTTACTCTCTACCATCCTGGTGCTCTTCTTTTGAGAAAAGGCTGGAACTCAGCCATCTGCTGCCAATCATTTTCTACCTTCTTGTCCTGACATTGAACAAGGCAGAGTTTCTCATATTTTAAATGAAAACAAGTGGATGATGGACAAAATGAGGCTGACCCAACACATGAAACCTTTATTACAGAAACTGAGATCTAACAAGGAAGGAACTTTCAGTTCCTCGGTTTCAAAGCTAAATCTTACCTCTAATGCAAGATTCCCTTAAGAAGCTCCAAGAAATCAAGAGCATTTCCCAGTGATGGAACCTGTGAAGGGTAAGGAATCAGTTCCACCTGTATTTGAAGCAGGGTCAAAGTGTTGCTGTATAATTCAGATTTGAACATCCCCAAGCTCAAGATCTGAGGCTAGGGTCATTCCCTTCTCTACCTTCCATGTGAAGAGAAAGAGGTTGAACATCCCCAAGCTCAAGATCTGAGGCTGGGGGTCATTCCCTTCTCTAACTTCCATGTGAAGAGAAAGAGATTCTCAGCAAACCTGAGAGAAGTCCCTGCCTAGTTTTGTAGATACTAATGAGGGCTTTATTTGAAAAAAGAAATAGCAGAGGTGCCTATGGAGTCAGAGGTGGTAATACCAATCAGCAGATCGCTGTCACACTACAGAATTGGTACAAGGACAGACAACAGCCACCAATTGTTCTTTCAGATCCCAGAAAGAACAGAACAAACAACGTTAGGCTGAGGGGAAAAAAAAAAAAAATAGAGTCAAATTTTTATCTTCTGTAGTTCCGACAGGGTGAATTATAGCACAAGCAGCAAGATTATGGAGGGAATGTGTGGTAGAAAGCAGAGCTAATACAATCACAGAATCAATTTCTAGCAAAAAACTAAATCCCACTGGAAGTTATCTTCCCTCCCTACTCTCTCCTGTTTCCTGAAGCCACTCAGGTTACTGCTCTACAGACCTTATCTGATCTTGCTTTAAAATGCTCCAGTGATGAGGTTTCTATTGATCTTCCTGCAAAAAGATAGCCCAAAGTTTAAACGACTCCAAACTGGACTTCCTCCCAACCCACAAGGTCCAACCAAAGACAGCCACACGCAGCCGAGTCCTCCTCCCAGGTCCGTTTGGACCCCAGCCACCCTGGGAGGTGTGTGGGACCTGCCCCAGGCTGGGTTTGAGAGCCCACAGTACCTTGTACCAGCAACTGCCCCATCGTTCTTCCCCAGGGGCTCGTCCAGCTCCACTCCACACCACTCTCCTTTGGCAAAATCCGTCTCTCCCACGTAGCGCACGACTCCCGTCTTTGTCCCACCAACCTGTTGGAGACAAGATGCCGAGGGTTAGAGACAGCAGCACTGGCACTGCCACCAGAGGACTGAAGCTGGGACAGCTGTGGAAGAGAAGAAGACATCAATACTTTCTGTTTCAGATCTAACGAAAGCAGAACAGACAGTTTTCATATCCATCTCTCCTAAAGGCGTCTCTCCAATAACTACAAGCAAGTTGACAAACTCTCAACTTTTGGAGCTGCCTGGAAGGTGTCAGAATATAATAAAAACATATTCCAAGGTGTCGGCTTAATTGCACAAAGTTCCTCGTGAGGCCGTGAAGGAGTTCAAGCCTTTCAAGAGCAGCTTATACCTGCCTTCTGCAAAGAGCCAAGCTCTGCACTGACGGGGTTCCAGCCCTGAGCTCTTTCAACCAGAGTCTCCGGGCAATACTGGGACAGGACACCAAAGGGACAAGCCGAGGCAGGAAGGCACTCATCACTCTTCAGCTCACCCCCACGCAGGGTTTGCTAGGATGTAGCAAACAGCCCTCCTAACAAATTGCTCAAAATAGAGGCGTTTTGTACAGGAAAAAAACCCACAAACCTCTGTTTTTACCTATACATCCTACATCAAATCACAGCGCTAACGAGCTGCATGGAAAAGGGTCTCAACTCTTCAGCTCACCCCCACGCAGGGTTTGCTAGGATATAGCAAACAGCCCTCCTAACAAATTGCTCAAAATAGAGGCGTTTTGTACAGGAAAAAAAACCCACAACCCTCTGTTTTTACCTACGCATCCTACATCAATTCACAGCACTACCGAGCTGCATGGAAAAGGGTCTCGTCTCACTGCCAGGCTTCCACTAGCACAGTTTTTTTTCCCCCCTCCATGGAGAAGTAAGAATAAATCACACCTTTTTCTCTGTATGCACACTTAAAGCTTTCAACGTGCTGGGTGGACTCCAGGAGAGCACAAGTCAGGGATGGCTGAGGCTGTGTTTTCATCACTGCACCCAGCAGCAGCTCCTAGAGCTGAGCACCAGAAGCTCCTACGTAGATACTTGAGCTGAGAAAAGAAGGATGGAAAAGTAGGAGGGTGGTTCTAAAGGTTCACACCTCCAACTAAATCCGCATAGGCTAAAAAAAGGTGTAAATCCTATCTCAGCTAAAGCCTTTCTCCAAGGAAGAAAGCTTAAAAACAAGTTTAAAGTTAAATTTGCAGCTTTATCTTGAATGACTCGTGGTTATTAATTTTCTTACTATTAGCTATTACATAAACTGGTATCAGAGAAATATTCTCCTACAGAAACAGTGATAATGGAATGCAGAAATCTCCAGTTTTGTGTATTCCGGGGTAGGGATATTACAGATTCACCAATTCCGAATCCCTAAAAATTCTAAAAATTGCTGATGTGAAGGAGAAAAAGAGTTTTCCCAGCCTAAAAATAACTGCACCTGGATGGAGTAGAGAACGCAGCTCTGAAGGCTGGGTCCTACCTCGAGTCCTGGGAGGCTGCACTGCAGCACGCAGCTTGAACATACTCTTCTGTAATTTCTCTCCCTTAGGGATTCAAAGCACTGCTTACAGAAAAAGCTTTGTTGATGATATTCTCTTTGCTATAGGAAGGAGGAAAATATTTTCCAGCAGGAAAAGTATCACAGAAAGCTTTCTGGCCTTACACTGTAGAGTCCAGGAGTAAAAAGATGATTCAATTTCAGCATTAGGTACTTGGCATGTTACAGATTTGAAGAGCTGCAGTAAAATTCTCTACCTATCACTCACAGTCAAGTAGTAGTTCCCTTTTTGATTTATTTGAGTTTGTACAGATTTAGTCTCTTAATATTAATGCAATAATTTAATGTCATTCTAATATATTTCTTTAACTGCAAGCTGAACTCATAAAAGTGTAATTCATCTTAACATCATTTATAGGACCTCGTCATTGCCGGTAAGCTCAATTTTATTTTTATTGAATTTTAATTACAGATATCAAGCCACATTTCCTTTACCAAGTCATCTGATTCTCTGACCCCAAAGAGCCTCATGTAAACACCTTAAAAACCGTCCCTTGTTGTGACTCTCACCGTGCTATTCAGAGGATCACACTCCCCTGTCCACACAAACACCACTCACTTGCATCTCTATAGATATTACTTATTTTAAGAATCATAGAATGGTTTGAGTTCGTCCACACAAACACCACTCACTTGCATCTCTGTAGATACTACTTATTTTAAGAATCATAGAATGGTTCGAGTTCCAAAGATCATCTTGTTCCACCCCCTGTCCTGGGCAGAGACACCTCCCACCAGACCAGGTTGCTCCAAGCCCCCTCCAACCTGGCCTTGAACCCCTCCAGGGATGGGGCAGCCACAGCTTCTCTGGGCAACCTGGGCCAGGCTCTCACCACCCTCACAGCAAAGAAGTCCTTCCTGAGATCTCATCTCAATCTCCCCTCTTTCAGTTTAAAACCATTCCGCCTCGTCCTAGGGCTCCCCTCCCTGATCCAAAGTCCCTCCCCATCTCTCCTGGAGCCCCTTGAGGGACTGGAAGGGGCTCTAAGGTCTCCCTGGAGCCTTCTCTTCTCCAGGCTGAACCCCCCCAGATCTCTCAGCCTGTCCTTACAGCAGAGGGGCTCCAGCCTTCCCAGCATCTTTGTGGCCCCGTTTCCAAAAGGAAAGCTGTTTCCAAACAGGAGAGAAAATATCTAGCCCTATTAACTTAATATACCCATATCTAACTGCACCAACACCCGAACTACTCAGCACAGAGCAGGTACTGCTCATACCCAAAAACCAGACAGCAGTAAGGATGCTGAGTGAAGATCAGATCTAACACTCCCCCCAAAGTCAACATGATTCTCTGCTCTCAAAGCAATCTATTTTCTTTTTCTTTTTTTTTTTTCAAACATTAATCATTCTGCCATCTTTTATATAAGATATGCCCTTGCCATACAGCATTCTCTTCTCCCCCAAGGCAGTACAGACACATCTGCTCCCCATCAGCCTGGGTTCCCCCCATCCCCACAGCCAGTATCAGGCTGTCACACTCCCATGCCAACGCTCAACCCTCTCCTTGAGCTCCCCATCCTTTGGCAGGCACACAGCAGCTCTTGGGGATGGAGAGCCTAGAAAATTCATCCGACTCAGACACGCGGATTTACTCAGCCCTGATAATCTGCTAATGCTGCTAAAATAAATAATGCTTTTTGGAAAAAGCCAGCTGGCAGGTTGTATGAGTGCATGAAACACCCTCATTGAAGTAGAAGTGTTTGTTTCTATCAGACCCTTCAATAAATCAGAGGTATCACCTTGGAAGGAGGACAAAAGGCAGCTTGTGAAAGCCAGGGAGGGCAGCAGTTGCACAGAATAACTCACAGTAGCCGTTCCTCTGCCCATGCCTGGCTTTGATACCATGCCCCACAACCCAGGCATGAAGGACAGGTGGGCACGGATGGTTCCTACCACACTAACACAATGGCCATCATCACACTGGAGACCAGAGGACTTCCATCCCATGAACATCTCAACCTGCCATCGGCACTACCCTGAGCCATGAGTTTCCTCTGGAAAACTCATCTGCATCTCAGCCTGATGCAGTGACCGGAGCCACCATCACCCTTCAACTTGCCAAGTGTCTGGAGTTCAAAGACAAAGTGGACAAGGAACTCCTCCCTTTGCTAAAGCATGAGACAGAACGGAGGTAATGAGGCTGCTGGCCAGCTCAGCTACAGCCCAGGAGTTTGGACACACCATGGGTTTTAGAATCAGAATAATTTGGGTTGAAAGGGACCTTAAAGACCATCCAGTGCCACCCCCTGCCCTGGGCAGGGACACCTCCCACCAGACCAGGTTGCTCAAAGCCCCCTCCAACCTGGCCTTGAACCCCTTCAGGGATGGGGCAGCCACAGCTTCTCTGGGCAAGTTGTTGACAAGTTTCATTCAAAAATGAACAAAACTCACTAAGTTTTTCTGAGAAGCCTTTAGTAGTTACTTTACCAAAGCCATTACTGAGATTATTAATATCCAAGAGAACAGGATTTTACCAAATGTGTTATTGGGTTGGGGAGTGGGGAGAGGGAAGAAAGCAACTAAAAATACCTCTTCCTTGAAGCCTCAAAAAATGGAAACAATATTGACACAGCGATACAGGATTTTTTGTTTTGGAGCGTGTTTTGACCAGCATCAACGTTCCAAGTTTCTCTGCTTCAGGTTTAGACACTTACGATTAACTTTAAACAAACCCAGGGTGGTCAAGCCTCTCCAGCTGCATTCAGGCAGCCTCAGAGCCACGTGTCCCTCTTGTCTGGGAAAGCTCAGCTCCAGATGAAGTTCTCTGCCTCAGCTCCGATGACCTTTGATTAAAGACCATCTTCCCGACCTGGCCTTTCCTCAGTAAAAGATCTCCAATAGTCTTCTTGAGACAGTCTTGGGCCTGACCTTCACAACCAAGTGAAGCCAGGAATATTTTACATGTCTGTGTCTTGGCTGGTGAATAATAGAGTTGTCTGGGTTGGAAGGACCTTTAAGATCATAGAGTCCAACTATCAACCCAACTCTGATAACGAGTCCAACCATCAACCTAACTCTGATAACAACCACCACCAAATCATGTCACTAAGCACTACATCAACCTGTCTTTTGAACACCTCCAGCGATGATGCCTCAACCCCTTCCCTGGGCAGCCCATTCCAAGGCTTAATAGCCCTTTCAGTGTAAAAATTGTTCCTACTCTCCAATCTGAACCTCCCCTGGTGCAACTTGAGGCCATTTCCTCTTGTCCCATTGCCTGGGACTCGGAAGAAGAGACCCACCCCTGCCTCCCTACAACCAAGAACATGCGCTCGTAGGACATCCACACGCCTCCCCTGCTCACTGCAGTATCACTGACATCATGTTTTACTGTGGTTTCCTCATCAGAATGACAAAATTGGATTCAGACCAGTATCCCAGGGCTCAAAAGACAATGATGCTAATCCTTCCAGACACTGTCTTCATCAGAGCTGCTAATATATCATTTAAACAATTTACCAAACTAGCACCAG